GGCAGACATTGAGGTGAAAAAGACAGGCATTGTTAGGTCACTGCTTCTTCTGCACATCCTTAAAGTGGAACCAAATTTGGCTTTGACTGATGCTATCTCCAGTTCAACTTTTTTTAATTTCCTAATTTCTGAGGTGAAGAGAGCTGAGGTTAGCAAATCAAAGCATTATCTTAATTGTTTTGAAAAACATTTGAGAAACTGTGCTATTTTCAGATTATGTTAATTTAATAATAGTAGACAATTCACAGTGAGTGAGCAGGCCAGGACCTGAGAAGACAATGATAAAATCAAAACATTAAGCACAAGCATTCTTATTGAACAGATTGCATGTATGTGCCAAGTGTGGTGAATGTTTATGGTTCACTGGACTGTGTTGTATGCCAGACACTTGAAAGAACATTCCAGAGAGATGGTCTAACTTACTGGAAAGTAAGGCTCAAACCCCATATTTTTTCCTTTAAAAAAAATATATATATATGTTTTATTGACTTTGGAGAGGAAGGGAGAGGAGAGAGATAAAAAAACATCAATATGCCCTAACCAGTTTGGCTCTGGATAGGCCAATGCTCTGCGGACTGAAGAGTCCTAGGTTCGATTCTGGTCAAAAACATGTACCTTGGTTGCAGGCACATCCCCAGTAGGGGGTGTGCAGGAGGCAGCTGATTGATGTTTCTAACTCTCTATCCCTCTCCCTTCCTGTCTGTAAAAAAATCAATAAAATATATTTTTAAAAAAATGAAAACATCAATAAGTGAGAATAATTGATTGACAGCCTCCTGCATGCCCCTTACTGGGGATTGAGCCCATAACCCTGGGAATGTGCCATGACGGGAATCAAACTGTGACTTCCTGATTTATAGGTCGATGCTCAACCACCGAGCCACACCAGGTGGGCTATTTTTTTAAGAGTTGTATTATGAAATATTTAGACATTTTACAGGAAAAGGAATCTACAAGTCAATGATGTAATTTTTTTTTAAATATATTTTATTGATTTTTTACAGAGAGGAAGGGAGAGAGATAGAGAGCTAGAAACATCGATGAGAGAGAAACATCGATCAGCTGCCTCCTGCACATCTCCCACTGGGGATGTGCCCGCAACCCAGGTACATGCCCTTGACCGGAATCGAACCTGGGACCCTTCAGTCCGCAGGCCGACGCTCTATCCACCGAGCCAAACCGGTTTCGGCAATGATGTAATTTTTTAAAAGGAAAAAACGAAAAAGAAAACAGGAGAGGAAAAGAAACTAGCAGTGCCCTGGATTTAAAAACATCTAATAATTGTGTAGATCTTAATTAGATTCTGATTTGAACAAACCAACTATGAAAGACATTTTTGAGGTTATAGACATTCTTCTATAACCAAATAAATTTGGTTATAGACCTGGAAATAGATTTTAGCAATAAACTGTCAGTTTTGTGGTATGTAAGAAAATGCTCATATTTTAGAGATGGATTCTTAATATATGAAGGAACAAAATTACATACTTGGGATTTGCTTTTCAATATTTCATCAAAGGAAGAAAAAAAGTGGCAGATGAAGTAAATTTCAGCAAACTTAACAATCAATGAGTAATTCCCAAAGTAATGGAAATTTACTGTACTCTTTTTATAGAAGTTTAAATTTAAAATATTTTTTACGAATTATCCACAAATTTAAATTGGGGGTGGGGTTATGGTTGTAACTCTAGACCTTTTAGACCTGTGAAGTGTCTGTTATGGTCAATCATGAACTGTATATATAATTATTTACAGATTAAGTCAGTTGGTTTTAGTAAACTCGTTTACAAGAGGGAAACGTACTCTGAAGTCACCATAAACCTCCATTTGCCAAAGTTCTTTGGAATGGCATCCCTGCTTCCATGCTTGATCTCTAGTCATTCTCCACCTACTAGCTGGAGTTATATTTAAAACCATAATTCCAGTTCTAGCTGTTTGGTTTAGTGGACAGAGTGTCGACCTGAAGGGTCCTAGGTTTGATTCTGGTCAAGGGCACATGCCTGGGTTGCCAGCTCGATCCTCAGTGGGGGGCGTGCAGAAGGCAGCTGATCAATGATTCTCTCTCATCATTGATGTTTCTGTATCTCTCTCCCTCTCCCTTCCTCTCTGAAATCAATAAAAATATATTTAAAAACACACACACACACACACACACTGTAATTCCAGTCACCTCATTCTCTGATTAAAACCCTTAAGTGGACTCCAATTTCTGGAATAAAATCAAAAGCTCTAACACAGCTCATACAGCCCTATGTAAGACAGCCCTGCATCTCCACTGCCTCCTCTGGGCCACTCACTATGCTCCCACCTCACTGGCTTCTTTCAGCTCTTCAATGGCCAAGGCCTGTCCTGGCCCATGACTTTTCCTAAGCTGCTCACTCCTCTTGGAACATCCTCCCCATCACTTCTTCACAGTACACTCCCCCACCCACTGTTTTCACCTTATAGAAATGGTTCTTTTCTCCTGTAGCAATTTTCACAATTCGTTTGGGTTTATTTGTTTCATGTCTATTTTCCCCGCTCTTCTCCATGTATATTCTGTTTACCACAGCCAACAATATTCAATTTTTATTGAATCAGTTAAGAAATATTTCTTCCAAACCTTCCAGTCCCATAGGTATCATATAAATATTGAAATTGGATGGAAGGAATTTGGTGAATATTATCCAAAAAGTTGGCTTATACTTCCGAGAAATTAGGGTGGAGGGAGCAGAGGGCATTTGAGAGGAGAAATATTAATGCAGCAAGTGATGATTAGGTTGCTGAGCGAAACCTTACAAAAAGGAGTCAACCCACTGTGATTCTCAGTGTGTTTGAGCTCATGAACTTGTATTGCTCTATGATGCCTTTCCACTCAGTCAGTGCCCTGACTTCTGTCCTAGTCCTCTGCTGGGCAATGAAGCACAGCTCTCCCCACCCCCACCCCCGTGGGAGGGATCAGGGAATGGGATCCAGACAACTGACTGGGATCTCTCACTCCCGTGCCAGGGAGCAAAAGTTGGCAGAATACATGCAAATATGTACACAGCCACAATCACGGGAAGTTTTGTTTTGTTTTTTAATCACAGGGAGTATTTAACACACTAGTTTAAAAATTAAGAGCTCAAACATACAAAATTTGAAAAAGACAGTTAACAACTTTGAGCTACTGGACTTATGTATAATTGCACACCTTATGGTTATTTTTAAAGTTTAACACTATATGGTGCTTACAATGTGCCAGGCGCTGTTGTAAGTGGTTTATAGCAGCTTATTAAAGAATTAAAAAGTACACATTCTTTCTCAGGTTATTTGTAAAAGTGATCTTGTAGTAGGTCACAAAGCAAGTCTCAACAACGAAAATTCAATAGCTATAGATCTAATCATATGTAGTAAACGAACAAAACCAAATAAGATAGCAGGTTCCCTGATAAAGACCAGAAGAGGCAGGGAGGGAGAGAGGGGATGGGTGAAGTGAGAAAGTGTTAGCTCTACCACTGCACTGGTACAGAAGAAAAGTATAAAAATCAATACAAGACATGGCCGAATGCATATCCAAACCCACAATCTGCCAGAGAAAGTGTGCCAGAGTTTATGCCGCCCACTTTCATTTTTTGCTGCCTCATCTCATTTTCATACCAATTCTGTTAAGTACAATTAATTATTCCTATTTCGTAGATGAAGAAGCCCAGAGAAGTTAGTAACTAGGCCAAAATTACACAACTGCTAAGTGACAAAGCCAGGAGTTTACCTCAGGTCCGCCTGACTCCAAAGTCCACGCTCTTTCCACATCATCATGTTTATAAAAGTCACAAAAATATAAATACCATAAGATTCCACTTACTCAACACTCTTGGGATGAGTCATGCTGGACAGATGAGTAAGTGAAAGGCCACCCTCAGGAAGCATTGTTCAAAGCCCTCTGCGGTGAGAGCAGAGAGGACTCCAAAGGCCCCTGGGGAGGAGGCTGCTCCTCTCTGTTCCTTCTCCGTTCCTTCTCTCTCTTGGGCTTCTGGCATTGGAAGCCCAGCACACCTGGTGTCTAACTGACATGCTCTTCCAGCAAAAGATGGCCACAGATTCCCTTTTCTTTTTAAAAAAAAAACCTCACCTGAGGATTATTGAGTACAAACCCCAACCAGGGATTGAACCTGCATCCTTTTCTGGTGTACAGAATGACACTCCAACTGAGTAGTCCGGCCAGGGCTCCTTTTTCCTTCCTCAAAGCACAAATCAAATAGACTGAAAATTCAGAAATAATTTTAGCACAAACTAAGGAAAACAAAACAGAAAGTGTCTACTGAAAATACACCAGTTGGATTCCCAAAGCACAGTTTTCTGATACCAGACTGGGCACACAACCAGTCCTGAATGTTAAACACTGCCCCCTTGGTCCTAAAGGGCGTCATGACCCTGTAGGCCTATTTTTTTGTGTCGTTTCTCAGTATTTTGCTATCTCCTGGCCAGGTGGCTTTCAGTATTTATCTTGTTCATAGTTCTTGAAATGGGTCTAGTGATTCAGTCTACCGCTTCCATATGTAACCTCCCTGAATTTTAGATTCCACCTCTGCATAAAAAGGGAATGATGAAAATATCTAACTCAGATCAAATAGGGAGATCATGTAAGCATATGGCACATAGTAAGCACTCATAAGTTATTTTTCTTTTCTTTCCCATCTCTGAACCTGTGCAGAATCTTCTCCTTCTCCTTCTTCATCATCTTGACAATTATATCTAACTAGAGGCCCGGTGCACAAAATTTGTGAACAGGTAGGGTCCCTAGCCGTGGCCAGCGATCAGGGTCGATTGGGGCCTTCCGACTTCTGCCGGCCAGGGTCTTCCTTCATTCTGTGCCACCCCCTGGTGGTCAGCACACATCATAGCGAGCGGTTGAAGTACCAGTTGGTCGAACTCCTGAGGGGACAATTTGCATATTAGCCTTTTATTATATAGGATGACTGAGTACTATGTTCCAGGCACTGTTTTAAGCACTTGACATGCATTAATTAATTTATTCCTAATCACAATCTTATGAGGTAGGTTTAATGACCACCTTAATTTTATGAAGACACGGAGGTACCGAGAGGACAAATAAGTTACCCAAGTTCAAAAGCTGGGACTTCAATCTAGCCAGTCGGGTTCCAGAACCACCATGCTATACCACGTACAAACGGACTCTTCTGTGTTAAAGTTAGCCATCCAGACCTACATCCCTCCACCTAGTTTGCCTTTCTGGTCTGTTTCCATCTCCAACCAGGCCTATAAAGTGGACCTTAGAGTAAGAAGAGAGAGAATTGATGGAATATAAAACAGAGACCACAAGTATTTCCAATCATATGCAAATATATATTTTATGATTAAAGATGCATCTACTTTATAATTTTCAGTATTGTTTGAATTCTTCGAGCAGACATTTAATACTTCCAAAATCAATTTTAAGACTGCATAAAGTAGATTCACTTGGGCGGCGGGGAGGGGGGATTTCTAAGCATCAGTAAATTTGGAAAGGAAGAAGTGATTGCATATAGGAGGAAAGGTTTGTTTATTTAAACAGTTAAACGGCATTAAAACAATAACTTAGCCCTAGCCTTGTTGGTCAATGGTTAGAGTGTCAGCCCCCAGCAACAAAGGGTCTCGGGTTTGATTCCCAGTCAAGGGTATGCAGGTTTGATCCCCACTTAAAGCAAGTGTGGGAGGCAATCAGTTGATGTGTCTTCCTTCCTTCCTTCCTTCCTTCCTTCCTTCCTTCCTTCCTTGGCTGAGGAGAGACTCTTCAACTAGAAGGAAAAATAACAGCACACCGAGGCTCAGAGGAGGCGCAGTGTGGAAAATACTCAGGTGCGGAGGTGCGCGCGCAAAGCGGGCTGGTGGCTGAGAGCGCGGTTGTCGTTTTCGGTCAGGGGGGAGTCTCAGACTCTGAGCTCCAGATACGGGTGAATCGCTGGGGACTCAAACGGGAGAAGTGGGAGTGTCTGGCATCAGTTGGAAGGCAGCTTTCTCTCCGAGGTTTGCAGCGGTTCCTGGGGTTCTGAGAAGCAGAGCCTCTGGGAACGGGACTGAGGGCACCATAACCGCTCCCTCCGCCCGCCCTGTTGAGCCCGCCCCGCCCAAGCCCTGCGCAGAGCCATTTGCCAGATCGCCTCAGGCAAAGGCTAGATTAGCACCTCCCCAGAGGACAGAAGTTTTCCGCGGCAGACACAGCTGATTCACACAGCCAGTCGGCCTGGTGGTCAAATCCCTCTAGTATTAACTACAACAATCAAGGCTCAACTAGAACAAGACTGCGCACAAAGACCACTAGGGGGTGCACCAAGAAAGCATAAAAAATGCGGAGACAAAAAAACATGACAGAAATGGAGGATATAGAGCTAAAAATCGCAATTTTGAGGGCTTGCAAAAATGTGCTAGAAGCTGTCAATAAACTTGAGGAGAGAGTCACGAAAACTAATGAGACCCTCGATGCTATGATAAAGAACCAACTAGAAATTAAGCATACACGGACTGAAATAAAGAATATTATACAGACACCCAATAGCAGACCAGAGGAGCGCAAGAATCAAGTCAAAGATTTGAAATGCGAAGAAGCAAAAAACACCCAACCGGAAAAGCAAAATGAAAAAAGAATCTGAAAATATGAAGATAGTGTAAGGAGCCTCTGGGACATCTTCAAGTACACCAACATCTGAATTATGGGGGGTGCCAGAAGAAGAGAGAGAGCAAGATATTGAAAACCTATTTGAAGAAATAATGGCAGAAAACTTCCCCTACCTGGTGAAAGAAATAGACTTACAAGTCCAGGAAGCGCAGAGAACCCCAAACAAAAGGAATCCAAAGAGGACCACACCAAGACACATCATAATTAAAATGCCAAGAGCAAAAGACAAAGAGAGAATCTTAAAAGCAGCAAGAGAAAGAGACTCAATTACCTACAAGGGAATACCCATACGACTGTCAGCTGATTTCTCAACAGAAACTTTGCAGGCCAGAAGGGAGTGGCAAGAAATATTCAAAGTGATGAATAGCAAGAACCTACAACCAAGATTACTTTATCCAGCAAAGCTATCATTCAGAATTGAAGGTCAGATAAAGAGCTTCACAGATAAGGAAAAGCTAAAGGAGTTCATCACCACTAAACCAGTATTATACGAAATGCTGAAAGGTATCCTTTAAGAGGAGGAAGAAGAAAAAGGTAAAGATACAAATTGTGAACAACAAACATGCATCTATCAACAAGTGAATCTAAGAATCAAGTGAATAAATAATCTGATGTACAGAATGAACTGGTGATTATAATGAATCAGGGACATAGAAAGGGAATGGACTGACTATTCTTGGGGGGGAAAGGGGAATGGGAGATGCGGGAAGAGACTGGACAAAAATCGTGCACCTATGGATGAGGACAGTGGGTGGGGAGTGAGGGCGGAGGGTGGGGCGGGAACTGGGAGGAGGGGAGTTATGGGGGGGGGGAGGAAAGAGGAACAAATGTAATCTGAACAATAAAGATTTAATAAAAGAAAAAAAAAGAGCAGAATGGGTTGAATTTTAGCAACAAAACTTTATTGGTTTTTGAACTTTACTTCTAGGTTTTCTCATCTACAAATAGAATAATAATACCTATCATCTAGAGATATTATATTGTCTTAAAATAAGACAATATAAGGTGCTTGGTATGGTACATTTTCTTTACAACATCATTGTAATGGCTGAAGAGTATTCTGTGTTATGACTGAGCTAGGATTTATTTAACCAGTCCCTCATTATTAAACATTTGGTTCATTTTCAATACTATCAATATAAAAACATTTTCATACATTTCTGGTTATTTCTTTAGGGTTAAATCGTAGTGCTTTGGTGGACTGAAGAATATCACCATTGTAAACTGGTAACACATATTATAAAATTATCAACCAACACATAGTTTTACCAAGTTAATCTCTGTATTGAAGGTATTTAGTCAACTACTGCCAATAATGGGTACTATTCTAAAGAAATATGCTAATTTTATAGGCCCGCAAGGACCCATGTTGTTATTTTACTTGCTTATTAGATGTTTCAATTTCTTCTTAGGCTTCATAAATTAGAGTATGAGCTTGGTAGAAAATAGAAAAATAATTGAAATAAGTAGAAATTTTAATGTAGCATATTAAAGATGTGGCATTTTAAGCTATATATGATGGGATGAATTTTTCCAATGGTTTCCAAAGTACCTTCTGGAGCTTCTTCTCGTGGGGGGGGTGCGGGGGGAAAGGGGTGGAGGGTAGGAATGATGGCAGGGATGCTATCAGGTTGAAATAACTCTTATCTTGCCCCATTTTAACTGCGCTTATCTATTTTACATATTGAACTTACTGGTAAGTTGATCTGAAGAGTTCTGAACCTGGAAACAAAACCAAAACCACATTTAACTAAGTTTTTTTTTCTTTTATTAAATACTAGAGGCCCGATGCATGAAATTCGTGCAAGAGTAGGCCTTCCGCCCTAACCGGTTTGGCTCAGTGGATAGAGCGTCGGCCTGTGGACTGAAAGGTCCCAGGTTCAATCCGGTCAAGGGCATGTACCAGGAGGCAGCTGATCGATGTTTCTCTCTCATTGATGTTTCTAACTCTCTATCCCTCTCCCTTCCTCTCTGTAAAAAATCAATAAAATAT